CGATGGTGATGCAGCGGACGCTGACGGTCGGGGACGGGGTTTCATTGTCGACGACGGGGATGGTGCCGTCCCCGCACCCGTCGTCGGACGCCGCGCCGTAGTAGTAGGTCGCGCTAGGGGGCCCCGCGTCCGTCACTCCGCCGGTGGTGTCGGCCACATAGGAGTCTGACGTAGCGTCGGTGGCGGCCAAGGCCAGGGCGACGGCCGCGAGACCGAGCATTATCCTGGTTGTTGTTGCTGAAGTCGGGGCCATCATTTGCTGCCGCTGGGTTATATGATGTGTCGTGGGTTGTAGTTAGAAATGATCTGCCGGGCGAGCCTGTTGGAAAATGGCTTAGAACGTAGAACACGCGCCTGCAGAGGGAAAAGAGCATGGAGAGAAGTGCGGGGTGGGGGGGGTGGGGGGGTGATGGGGGTAAAGTCGGGGGAACAACCGAGGCCTCAAAACGCCGGGCAGCAGGAATGAAAAAGAACGTTGCCAATGTTTGCCAACCAATCGGCTATGTACATAGAACCGACTGCTTCATCTCGGAGGCTTAAAAATCTTGCCGCGTCCGCGTGCAATCAATCTTTGCCAACGAACTCTATGTTTCACGCGGCGATTTGATCTGAACTGCTGTGTTCGGCTTGTATCCAACAGGCAGCACGCACGCGCGCGATTGGACCGGAAAAGTGCACCAGCGTGTCGCCCGACCCATTGGACATAACCGCGCTATTACCGCCGTCGTGTGGGCGGCGCGGGCGGGGGGGCTACGCGGGTTTCGAGGATTCGACTCTCTTCGTGCCTTCACGGGGGAACAGCTCACACCCGTATGTACATAGCTGTTGGTTGGGTGTACCGATGAAAGCCCGAAAGATGGTGGGAAAATATTAGTGAAGTAGTGGTGGTAAATAAAACATTTCTAAGGAAGGATGAAAACACTCCGAGACGAACGCGTGTTCAAAGTAGTAAGCCTTGGCAGTCACGTAGTTCTCCTCTCTGTTGCTACCATTTCTGTCTTTTATGCTGAGAGTAGCTCAGCCTCCTCCATGACACCCTCTCACGGCCTTGAGAAACAAATATTTTCTGTTTTTGACCGCACTGAGCCTGACGTCTTTTGGTTGGCCAGTCGTTTTTCTTGCTTCTGAAGGTTTGGTCTTCTCTCTAGCTTTTTATCGAAGGAAAAGGGGAGCTCGTTATCTTCTTCACCCGTTATTTAGGTTGCATCTGCTTTTGTATGCTCATGTAAGGAGTACTACATCCATCCATGTTTTACCTCCAAATGTACATCGGGTGCGTGCATGAGCGTCTTTCTTTCGCTGTCGAGGGGTGCCTTTGAGGTTGCCTGAATAGTGCTACGGCCTTCTTATATAATAATTTGATAGCGAGGTGAACTTTTATCGGGCAACGCAGTCTAAGGTTGAAAGGCAGGAGCAACGTTTCACTAGCGAGTGCTTGCGCTGAGGTGGGAAGAGAACAACTGCTGTGCAACAAACCTATCTGGTCAATCAAGTTAATTTTAATGTGACCAATGCCGTGTTTTCGACAGTCCAAGAGCCTCACGAACCTTAATGAAGCCCGCCCACGTGGCCCACCTCACGATTGATCCAAATGCCGT